AAATGCGTATCAATAACTGGAAAATGCGGTATCCATGGCTGTTAAGACTGCGATTCGAGCGTTCGTAGAGCACCGATGGCGGTCGACGTCGGAACGCATTACGTCGATAGCCCGACGTGTGTCACTTCGGTTAACGAAATAATTGAGGAACGACGGCGATTCGTATCAGTCGCGGCATCGGCGCCAGGACACGATCAATTAGGGGGAAGGAACATGTGCCATGGTGGCGGTCGTCGCTGCCGCCTGACAAGACACCGATGACAGGTCATTTCGAGGTACAAGAGGTGTACACTCACCTGTTAGCGATCTTCCGCCTTGCCGGCGACAGACACCGGCTCGATGGCCGGGGATACATCGACTAGCAGCTCATGCTCATGCCGTCGTTGCCGCGAGGTGTAACACCGAAGTCAGTAGTCAATAGAAGCGAACCTCAATTACCACCGAGACCGAGACCAACAGGCAAAGCGACCGCAAGGATGACCATGTACAACACGTGACTAGCAGCTTAGCGGGGTCCGAAGCAAGTTATCATGGGACATGGGTCATAATAACCTTTTGCTGGCTCAAATTACAGTTCATGTATTTTGGCACTAGGAGGAATAGCAACCGTAGTCGCCAACCTAACCGTCTTATAATCAAACCAAACAGTTATTAATTAATGTCTGTAAAAAATGGGTAATATTAAAAAGTTTTTACTACTATCCCAAATTGGGAAAGGTTTAGCAAGAAGTAAACTTAAACGTGTGCAGGAAAAAAGTTACTGTGCTGTTCTTGACAGACAGGGCAGAAACAAGCGAGATGAAAACTTTTCATCATGTCGTCTTTCATCAATGAATACCATCAACAGTACAGTCAACACTACTATGCATTAATAATATTTTACGACATCAGGATTTACTGTTTAAATGGTTAACAGCCAAGAATGCAGCATAATAACATTGCCTAACAATTTTTCATCCATGCTATCACGTTTATGAACAAAACATGATATCTGTCATCATTTTATTCGAAGCTTCGTCATTTTCCTTAATACAGTAAAACGCTCATTCAACGAATCTCCTAGGGTTCACATTTTCTCACGAGGGAATTGAGAAAAAGAATATCTGTTGAATACGGGATCGAAGTATGAATGCGAAGATTTCTATCTGACCATACATTATGTTTATAGAAACGTTGTTGGACAAAACTCAACCTTATTTAAATATCATTTATAAAAGCATTTTATACTTGATGGACCAAATCGAACAATATTTTTGTTAAATAACGCACAACTTTCATAAGACCGGAATCCACAGTGCGTTTCACCGCTTCGTTGCTCCTAGTTGCTTACGGGCTCCATTTAAACAGGGTACGGCTCCACGGTATTGGGGCCCCTGTAGAGTTACATACGTCACACATTGTTTAATTCGCAAGAGAAACCTCATGTCAATCACGAACTGATTCAGGAGCTGGTACTCCT